TGGGATCTGGTCGGGAATCTAAGCTAAGTTCAACTATTAAAGTTGGTTTAATGTTTATAGTTCTTCATCCATTGGGAATTCAACTTGTATTAGTACAGATTAGTGTTCACGCTCCTCATTATCTACTTCAAAGGAGATGATACAAGTCCCTAAAGAGAATATAGAAAGCCTTAACATGTAGTTTGCACAATTAGAGGGCCCATCCACTACCTATATCTCATCCTTTGCACACTCAAGTACTTGTGCTTTGCAAATCATGTCTCCCTTACTCCATTGGACAATTTTGAATTGATTCAGGAGCATCAGACTACATGACTGGTATGTATTCCTTATTTATTTTTATTTCCTTCGTTCTGGTGGAGATAAACTCAAGATTGTTGATGGGTCTTTACATCTGTTGTTGGCAATGAATGAAAAGTCCGCTGCCCGATCGCCTAGGTAGACTTTTTCAAAAAACGACTAGGCATTGACAAGTTGGATAGCAGTAAGCGGAGGAAATTAGGCTCCCACCTAGGTGGTGTAAAAGGCGGCGCGTAGGCGCCGCCTCAACCTTGGCGGAAATTTTTTTGTGTGATGATAATAGACATCTCTTATCTATATTGGCTACATTTTAATTTGTTAGAACTGGTCTCTCTCTTCTCACGTTTCTTGGTTGTATTTAACGAGTGGTCTCTCTCTCAAAGACGACTATTTCTTTGGGTTAGTTGGGTCGAGTGGCTTAGACAATAAAAAGAACCTTCCCTCTCTCTCTCTCTCTCTCGTGCCTAACCAACAAAACGTAACAAAAGAATACTCGATTCTCTCCCTCTCACGATGAAAGAAACCTACTCTCTCTCTCCCTCCCCTCCCCCCCCCAAGAGGTTTATTTCTTTGGATCACTAGGGTCAAGTGGCCCAAACCAAAAAAATTAAAAAAACAATAAAGAAACAATCTATGCCTACTCTCTTTCAAAGGCCACAAAAAGTGAAAGAGACTCCTCTCTTTCTCTCTCTCTCTCTCTACACACACAAAGAACTTTCTAGGGTGTGAAGTGAAGATAAGAGTGTGATGTGGTGTACCCCAAACCTTGAGAAGTGCACACGTCCTTAATTCACAGATGACCCCCTGTTTCCAAGTCTCTCTCTCTAGTCCACAGACGACCCCATCTGCCATACTCTCTCTATATTTACAGCCCTTTCTCACCCACACATGACCTTGGTGGAGCTGGTCTAAGCGGCTGCCTTAGCACCTAGGCGGTCCAGGCACCCCATCGCCTAGGCGGCCCAGACACCCCACCACCTAGGCAGCCGTCTCCGCCTTCTTGAACATTGATTGCTGAAGAATAACTGTAAATATTTTTACCAAAATGCCATCATCATCAGTTGTTCACGTTCCCAGCTTCGCTACAAATTTAATGTCTATTAATAATATTACCAAAAGTCTAAATTGTAGTGTATCTTTCTTTCCTTCTTACTGTGTCTTTCAGGATCTGGATATGAGGGAGACGATTGGCAGTTGACATGAAGCTAGTGGTCTCTACATTCTTGACTCGATAACAACCACCTCGAGCCCTACAGTCTAGTTCTTGTGTTAATAAAGATCATATTTTGGTAGTGGCATCTCTGACTTGGTCATTTATGTTTTTAATCTTTAAAAGTTTCGTTTCCTAAGTTACTAGTGCATCTGAGTTTCAATGTGAGGTCTATGAATTGTCAAAGCATTGTGAAAAGTCATGTTTACATAGTAATACTTAAAGTTGTTGGATATATGGCCTTTCAAGGCCTTGTGTGCTATGTCAGCACTGTTCAGAGACATAGTGGGAGTGACCAAGAACATAGTGGCTATCGGAATTTTTGTGTACTAGGATTCGGATAAGCCAAAATAACCTTGTTTGAGTGAGGCAAAGTTCTTGGACCATATTATGAACCGATAGATTTTAGGGTTTTCCTCTAGTCAAGACTGTATGACTACATTTGCCTCATGTCGCATGAGCCAGGGCTTGGGGATCAATGGATCTCTGTTTGTTTGAGATATTTTGTGTATAAGCCCTGTGTGAACATAGCTGGGCACTAGGAGGACATAAGCCCAATTCCTTGACATATGTAGCTTTCTCATAGTGTGTGTATAAATAGTCGCATTTTGTGGAAAGTCATTCTGATGAGATAAGAGCCACCTATCAGAACTATGCACGCGTGCTGAGAGAGGACCCCCACATCCGTGAGAGTGCATATCTTTGGGGGGCACCTATAATCCACTGAACACCCTACAATCCATCCAGCTATCAGTTAGTTTTGATAGGTCCCCTCATGTCCAGATTGAAGTCTGTGACTCATAAGGGCCTGTTGGGTTGGTCTGAGAAATTGGATTGAGTATCATATAACCTGACCTCTTGTGGGACACTGTTTTCCCAACTGGATTTATGAGAAGTGCTAGACCATGATATTTTGATAAGAAATGATTAAAAATGGCTTATCATGATTTTAGATAATTTTTTGGAATCTTATTTCAAAGGTAAAATGCTTTATTAAAATTGTTGTGTGCTAATTCCAATTGAGGACATTCACACGCTTGTGGCACACAAATGGGCATTGTGTGCCGCATGTGCATCCCATAGGATTGCCACGTCATTGCCCAATGGGCATGACGTGGAAAGCCCAACCTTAGACGTTCCTTGTTTGTTTATAACATATAACATTGATAAGTATAACTGCTTTATGGAAATGTGGGAGACATATATGGTGCCATGTGTGTGTTCACATGTGGGAGTGTAGAGATTTTACAATTTTCAGAAATTGTTAAATCTCCTAATTTTGTGATTTGTGAACCAGTAGATTTTTAAAACGGAGTGTTGTGATTGGTGTGAAGAGGATAAGGGGACACACCATGATATAGGATGATGTAATGTCCCCCCATGATAATGACATTTCATTAGCTTATGTGAGATACAAATCTTACAACTAATGAAGCAAGAGGTGGCACACCACCCTCATATAGTTTTACAAACTTTAAATTAAATCAATGGTGGTGATTTATTGTTTTAAAGATCTATGATTGAGATGAGTTGAATTTGAAAATTAGGGTCTATGGGCACTTAAGAAATTGTTGGAGTTTTGGAGGTCTTATGTGGGCATGGTGATAAGCGTGTACTCAATCATCACCATCCATATGATAACCATCAATAGTGATTGATTAGGCTAGGTCTTTAGTCTCTCTCAACCCTTGGATCACTCAATGAGTGGTTGAGATCTAACCTAGGTTTTATACCTCACAAGAAAATTTTATATAATGACCACATCCCACTTCATTTTGTACTACTTCCTTTCACTTTAACTCTCCATCTCTTCTCCTCAAGAGGCTCACATCCCACTCCATAACCTTCTTCGTTTTCCATCTCAAAGTTCATAACTTGAGTTTATTACCTTCTACATAATTGCATGCCTTTCACCCCATGATTAAAGCATGATCATTAAAGCCTCATCACGCACCTCTTCATGAATCAAGGCTACTGTTATGACAATGTGAGCTGCTGGAATTTATTATAACAGTAAGCTATCTTGATCTAACTTTCTTCTTTAAGTGCTGGAGTATTAGCATTAACGAGCCTTTACTTATGTGCACTTTTGTTGGTGTAGCTGTAAGTTTATTAAATGCGAACTGTTATAGCATCAACGTTGCTGGAAAAGCAAGTGGCCGCTAAGTTCTAGCACTAGTAGAAAAGCAAGTTGTGTATAAACTTCTATCTTTATTTACAATATGCTATGTAGTTGACACTGGTTTAAGAAGGGTGCGGATCTTAAACTTTTCCTTAACTGGTCCCAAGCCCGGGTAAAGGAGGTAGGTTGTGTTAGGTAAACAGCCAACGTAAAACTCTACCAAAACTTTCGATGAATCATGAATCTATGCTATCTGTATATGATGACTACTCAGTTGACATGATGTCTACTTTGTGCATGTTTTTCTTTGGGAATGAAAGAGAGTACTTATAATGAGAGAGAAAATAAAGTGATAATTTTTGTTTACTTTCACAATGTGTTGTGGCATTAGTGGAACAATGTGCTTTAAAGTTTAAAAATTACAAGCACACTCACATAGTTCGGATGATATAGAGATTTAAACGTTAGAATAGCACACACATGGATTGAGATTCTATAAAGGTGGAAGCAAGATTCCATGTTGATAGAATCGTTGTTTCGTGCACTTGTAACCATTGTATTTGAAGCTATGGAATCTGGATTCCAAAAAAATTGAATCGAGATTCAATAAATGTGCAATTGAGATTCAATAAATTTGGAATCGAGATTCCAAACTTCATGGAAACGTGTTCTATGAAGATTCTCCTTAAAGGAATCACCGAATTGGGAATTGCCACTTTGGAGTGAGAGATTCCGGTAACTATGGCTCAAATTCTTGGACTTCGCCTATGATGGTCTTATCGATGACTTCAGTAAATCCTTCAATCAGAATGCAGCCAGACCCCCAAAATCCATCATGAAAAGTTTTAGAGAGCTCAGAATCATTACTGCAAATTTAACCTTGAGAAATCAGCCCACCAAACCCGAAATAGTGCAGAACCAAACCCCATCACTGTTGAACCATGACCATGAATATGCTCCTCTCTACACTAGCCCTCCTGCCCTTCTATTCCTGGTTTGCTGCTTAACCGACTACTAAAACAGTAAATTAGGTAGAAAAACACCTCTCTGTTTCATGAAAGGAATTTTTACCCTTTTGTGGTTCTGTTGCTTGTATTTTACAACCTGGTATGTCAAGATGGAGTTGTGGTTTGTCTTTATCTACTTCTTTTGCAGTGTTAGTAATTTTTAGTGTCATGGTCATAGCGTTTGTGAATTTCTTCTATCATGAAGTTCTGCTTGTATTGTTTTCTTTTATTGAGAGACCTATGCTTGACATACCATTTGGGACAACCTTCCTTTTCTCTTTGTTCCCATTTATTTTTTATATCAATTGTTCGTCCTCCAAATTTTAACTTGTATGGGCCTTTCATGGATTTCGCATTGTAGGTACGGGATAGAGGCCACTGGTTGACTTCCTACAAGCAAGTTCCTACATATAGAAAGTCTGGCATTGTACCCAGCATGTTTCCCTCAGGTGAAGACTGGGAGAAAGTTCCCAATGGTGAACAGGAGAATTTTGGGGCACCTGTTATTAGCATCGATCAGGAAAAGCCTACTGGAGAGGAGAGATCTGAGAGAGGATGTGGCATGCATCATGAGCAGGATTCTGCACCCTTGGAGTATGAAAATGAAGTTTCAAATCTTCCGTTGGAACGTTGTATGAGAATAATGCCTCATGACCAAAATAGTGGTGCCTTTTTTATTGCTGTTCTCCGAAAGGTTTCCCCTTTGCCTGGTGAGTTTATATCCGAGTTTCCTATACTATCTTCTGCTACATAATTGTAACTTTGTGTTCAGAATTCATGACCTTTCCTTTTCAAAAGAAGAAATCATGACCATTTATGAGTGATACTTCAATTTAAGATGGGAACAAAGGAAAAAGTATTGAGGAGTTCCTTGGGTTTTAGACTCAGAACTTGTTTCCTTCTAGTGATAATTCAATTTTGAATAGGGAAGCAATGGCAAGGCCTCATAAAACTGAACAAATGCTAAACTACGAGTATATTATCATAATACTCAAAAAATTTCATGGTTGCACCCTTTTGCCTGACTTATCGACCAGCATGTTTTTGTCTTCTGCTATCAAAGAGCTAGCCTCATATAGATCTTAGTTGGCATTTCAACTTCTCCATTGTCTTTTTTAGTCAAGATCACTGTATCACCTATAGTTTGTGAAAATGCTATAGGACCTTGAAGGCAATCATTTTTGTTCTTTAAAAGAAGATGAACCTCTCCTTAGGTGTCGGAGTATTCTGGTATAAACTCCTTAACATAATGAGGCAGGTCCCCTTCATTCCCAAACTTGTTTTGGGTCCATTCTCTTAGAATAAGTGACTATTGCAACTTAATGAATTAGTATAAAGAACAATCAACTAGTTTTTTTTAACAAAACAATTAAATAATCACAAAGGATTAGAGTCAAATTTATAGGAAATAATGAATCCTGCTTCTTCTGATATCCATGTAATTTACAACTGCTACCTATTGTTTGACAAAAGCTGTGTGGAAAACAGCTATTATTCCTCTTAAAGAATTTAAATATAAGTATAATACATCAGTGCTGTTGCATTTCATGGCCCCAAATAACAATAATTTGCGTCTGGTGTTTGAATGAGGCCCAAAAAGAAATGATGTGCCTTCGTCACTGAGCTAGAGAAATCCATGACTCATGTACAGCTTCCTTTCTTTGTATAGTATTGAAAGAAATGTTCCACTTCATTACCACTCAGTATGTTGTACATGGATTTGACCTCCCAAAGGGATCCCTATTATTCTACATCTCTTTCTTTGATACCCCATTTTTGAGATTGACATCTTCAGGGACATTTAAAACACTGCTTGATCTTCGATCACTTCCTCATTAATGACTCTTAGATCATTAAAGACCCTTAGAGAGGCATCCAATTCCAATGCTCATGATCATTGCCATCCGTGTGTAGCCCCCCACCCCCCACATTATATGATCATAGTTGTCCCAGGAAAATGTCTCATCACCACCTCAAACATAATACCATTTACTGAATTAAAAAAGAAAAGGTGCCCAGACCATCTACCTTTTCCCCCAGTACAAATCCCCATGCTTGATGAGTGATTTGAGTAAATATTTTGGGGGTTTCTACTGGGCTAAAAGAGTAGATGTTGTTGTTCTTCCTCTTTTTATTATTTCTTTATCTTTTCGATAATTGAGTAAATGGTGTAGTTTGAGGTGGTATTGAGACATTTTCCTAGGACCACAACTAGGGCCAAAGATCATAAATGTTACCTTCACTACCTCAACACACCTATTTTCATTTAGCGGAGGTAGTATATATTAAGTTGTCAGCGATGCCTTCTGCTAAACACAATAGTCCAATACAAGGACCTTGGTCATAGGCAAACAGCAATATGCTAAAAGGAGGCTTGGTACTCTGCTCTCACTATCACCTCTATCTTAAGGATCTTTAGTTTTGTTCCAATATTCGCCTTTCGACTTGATTATAAAACATTAGAGTACCTAGTTTCTATGGCCTTAGAATTGTGCCAGACTGGTTCCATAAAAAAGCTGTCATCTCATGATGTGGTGTTGGGAAAGTATACCCTACAGAACACAATAAAAATCTTCAATGAATCTGTTTGCCACAGCCTCACAGACATCACTGCTAAAATACTTAGTAGATGGAACAATATGGAATTGCCCTACCTCATTGTCATGAAACTTCTAGCATATCTTTTATAGTAGCATGATAAATGGAAAGAAAAAAAGCCCATGTTGTAACAGTTAACAGTATCAAAAAAACAAAAACAAAGCCCTTGTTCTAGTACTAGCAAATCACAATCTCTTCATCATTTGCTCCAAAAAGTCCTATCTGACATGGTTATTTGACAGCTACCTAAATCTCATCTAAGAATCGAAAAGCTCACGGGAAACCAATTCTCTTGACTACCTTTTAACGGAAATCATTTTGTACAAGGGAATGAGAGACATGATTTAACAACTCTTCTAGCTAGAATATTTATTGGCAATCCTCTTGAACATTGCAGTGAAACTTTCCCAATTATCCATCAAGTCCCTCACACCCGTAAATTCCTAATAATACTCTCAAGAACCGATCTGCCCATAAAACATGTCTCCAGTTTAGCAGAAAATAGCTTTGGAAACCTCTTCTTCTAAGAATAACCATTCTAACCAAAATGTCCTTTGACAACTAATGGTGTCTTCATTTCCAAAGGAAAGCTTTCCTTCTCCACCAAGCTGTCTACATCGGTGATCTCTTCCAGAAAGAGACTTTACTTTGAATTTAATTTTTAGCAATTACAAAGTACCGCATATCGGAACATAGCTGAGCTATGCTCTCAACTCAAGCCTCATCAGCTTAACTCAGAAGTTGAGATACTTTAATTACTGAGCTCAAGATGACTTCCTAGCATGGTGTTAAGATTGTAGAATCAAAGAAAAAGAAGAGGAATGATAAGAGGAGAAACTCAAGGGAGAGAGAACGAAATTTAGAGAGAGAAAATTTAAAGAGATGATATGAGAGAGAGAGGGGAGAAATGACAATGTAAAGAGAAGAGAGAGGGAGATGTCACGTTAGGGTTGCCTCACCACACGGCCCGCTCATCCTTATTTATAACAAATAAATAATGAATGACCTTAAGTATGGGAAAAGGATAAGAGAGCCCTATAGGCACATAAACAAGGGAAATAACAAAAGAACTAAACTGAAATATATTGTTAATACTCCCCCTCAAGCTAGACATAAATGTCACCCATACCCAGCTTAGAGCAAATAATCTGAATCTCATTGCGGCCAAGAACTTTGGTGAATATATCTACCAATTATCTTTTGACTTCACATATGAAGTAGATATTTGCTTCGTAATTAGTTTTTCCCAAATAAAATGGCAATCCACTTCAATATGCTTCGTTTTCTCATGGAACACTGGGTTACTAGCTATACATGTAGCAACTTAATTATCGCAAAACATCTTCATTGCCTCATCAATTGCAAATTTTATATCCTACATCAAGGTATTCCGCCATATTAACTCACATGTAGTGTGAACCAATGCTCTTTGCCTCTACATTGACGTAGCTACAACATTCTTTTCCATGTCACGAAATTTCCTTCAACAGTACAATAATAAATAGTAGATCTTCTACCTAATGGAGATCTTGCCCAATCAGTTTTAGAATAACACTTAATATTGACCGTTTGTCATGTAGATAAACCCTTGATCTGTAGTCCCCTTAAGATATCTCAAAATTCTATGCACAACCTCCCAGTTTGGTGTCATTGGAGAATACATGAATTTATTCATGACGCTCACTACAACGGCTATATCTGGCTGAGTAATTTCAGGTAGATAAGTTTTCCTATAAGCCTTTTGTACCTGCCTGGATCTTCAAACAACTCTCCCTTATCTTTCAATGATTTAGTGCTTGGATCATAGGCATATCAATTGGCATAGCACCCAAGATCACTATTTTTTTACAACAAATATGTTATATACTTCATTTGCACTAAACTAATACCTTAGACCCGCTCCAGAACCTCGATCCCGCGATTCCAGCTAGGGATCTTAGATGGAACACGGATCCCTATATAGTGATCCTTGTTCCCCATAGGTTTGAACTGTTGTTCTCAAGTGTATGATGTATTGTATATGATGTTTTCTCTATTCGGCACTTATTCATGTTCATTGATTTAGGTTTGTGCCCAATGGTACAGTGAACCCATGCATCATTCGCAATCCATAAACATACTATCGTGTTTCCTTCCTTATGGAATCACGCTTCTCAGTGACAAGGATCGTGCTCCCTTGATATAGGATCGCATGAATGACAATCCTAACTACATGGAGCTTCCATCAATCCACAATTCTGCGAACGCGAGCTAGCTCCTGCTCTTGGGAACACACCCACACCCACACCCGACAACTATGCTTGGACTAAGCTACTTCGATTCCAAGAAAATACAGTAGTTGGCCCAATTCCTTGGTCTAAAAAGATTGTTGCCAGTACGTCTTTGTTATTAATTCATTCTTGACCTACCTGTAATAACAATATTGTCAACATAAACCACCAAGACATTTCTATTATGAGGTTTGTCTCTAAATAAATACATAATGGTCAACATGGCTTCATTGAAATTTGCTATAACAATTTCATTACCTTAACGAACCACGCATTTGAGCATTGCTTCAGGCCACACATGACCTTCTTCAACTTGCCTTAAGCAACAGACCCTGGCAGTTGCCCTATGTACACCTCTTCTTGTAATCGTCATGAAGGCATTTGCAACATCGAGTTGCCACAATAGCCACCCTTTATTTGCTGCTACAGATATAACAGTTGAACATAATTAAGTTTAGCAATAGATGCAAAGGTTTTAGAATAATCAATGCCAACAATTTGTCTATACCCTTCTGCCATCAGTCTGGCCAATAACCTCTCAATAGTTCCATTTAGTTGATATTTGACTGCATAAACGCAACGACATCCAATAGTTTGCTTCCCTACTGGCAAGTCTGTAAGCTTCCACGTGCTATTTGATTGGACCATTCCATTTCCTCATCCATTGAGAAAGAGCTTCCTGTTAGGACTTATAAATAAAAAAGAAGAAGATGATAGAGCAACATTTTGATAGGCAGGAGAAATGTGTCAATGTAGCTTTTAGAATTCAACCATCTTAAAAAAAGTGTGGTTTGTTTTGAAAATAGGAAACATCACAGCAAATGAATTCCTTTCTCAAACCAAGAGGATTCAATCTATAACTTTTTTGAGAGTGAGAATATCCCAAAAAACACACTTGATAGCCCTAGGAAATTATTAGTACTATAATCGAAAGCATGAACCAAAAAAATAAAAAATAAAAGGACCAAATACATGAGGATAAATAGAGGAGTATCAGGAAAGAAGATCGAATGTGGTGATTTTCCATTCAAAACAGAGCGTATACGCTTTATCAAATAGCATGTGGTCAACACTAGTCCCTAGTAAACCTTTAGCTAGTGGCGGTTTTTTGTTCTGCAACCTCATTTTGTTGAGTAGTGTGAGCACGTTATGTTCGATGTGAAATTTCATGTTGGGTTACATAATCTTTACGTTCTTGTGATAAATATTATTTAGCATAGTTAGAATGCAAAATGCACACATACTTACCAAATTGAACTCCAATCCCTTTGTGGAACGATTGAAAAGTAGAGAAAACCTCCTAATGTCTTTCTTTCAATAAATATAACTATATCATACAATAATAACCATCCATAATGATTACAAATAACCATGTCATCCAATGTCATACAATAATAACCATCCATAATGATTACAAAGATCTATGCTCTCAACTCTAGCAGGACCCTGAATATCAGAGCAAACAATCGGAAAACAGACTTCAATTTGTCAACTTTAGCATGGAAGGACACTTTATGATACTTGCCTAACTCACAAAGCTTCACACTTTAATGTTTACATAAAATCCAAGGCTGGAACTAACAACTTCAAATTATTAAGAGATGGATAACCCAATTGATGAGGCCATTGACATGGAGAAGCACTTGAATGAAGAGCAACACCAAGTAGACTACGACGTATATAGTAAAGTCCACCATACTTAAGCCAGCCACCACTCGTCCACTTTGTCTTTAGATTCTGAAAAACACAAATAGAGTTTACTATACACTAAAGTAATTTGGTTGATTTACTTAAGGAAAATAAAAATAAAAGGAAATTTTAATACAGACAAAATAAAGAATTAGGAAATTTTAATACAGACTAAATAAAGAATTATAAAGAGATGAAGTAGGATGAACTGTACCTTTCCTAGATACACTAGATAAAGAACCATCAACCAATGTAATAGATGCATCTGGGGCTAATTCATCACAGAAAAAGGACATAGAAGACTCACTTGTAATGTGATCAAAGGCTCCTGAGTTAATGACGCAAGAAGATAGCCTCAGGACACTAGAAATGGAGTTTAAGTACCTCAGTTTGCAAGCGTAGCAGTAGCTGCAGAAGAGTATGTTGCGAGCTGCTAATTTTTTTTCACAATTTCATTTGTATTCCTCATGTGAGAGGAAAATTGGATCACCAGTAGAATAAGAAATTTAATGATGTTCAGCGAAGCCATCTAGATGAACATCATCACCCTCAAAAGCATAAGATACCTAACCATGCAAGGTTACCAAATTCATCCCAATAATTATCAGCCTTATGATTTTTGCATCCACAATTAGTTCATTTACTATTACCATAGCCTCTGCTAGGACCCCTCCCTAAATCGTGACCCACCTTTCCTCTACTACTTCCGCCCCTCAATCCTTTGCCCATAGATGTAGTTAAGGCGGACCCAACACCAAAACAGAGCCAATGAAGTAGTAATGCATTGGAGACTTGAATACACATTAGTAAGAAATGGAAGTTCGCTACTTGCTAAGATATGTCTGTGAAGGGACTGGTAAATTCTTCTTGTTATTTCTTTAGTGAGTTTACATCATTTGATAAAGGTTGATACATATTTAGCTCTTCCCACATATCCTGGAGAGTGTTGTATTACTCACGAAGACTTTTTTTACCTTTTTGTAAAAAATGTTCTCACAACATTGATGAATCCCGGAGATATTCTTATATGAAGAATGCATTTCATGTGTTGACTCACAAACTTCTTTTGCTAACAAAAATCATCACAGTAGCACTTTGGTATTTCTCTCTAAGGCATTCTTCATACCTACTGTCTGATTCATTTGGCCCATCTTCAGTCAAGACTGCTTCTTATCATTAGCATCAAGAAACACCTTCATAGACTGAGCACATAGGAGATAATTGGTACCACTTAAATTCATAGAAATGATCAGAATTCCAATAATGTCATTAATGCTGGAACTTCCTGGGTTACTTTTGCTAGCCATGAGGAAAAAATGCGCATATAAAAAAAAGGAAAAAAGAAAAAAAGGAAAGACAATACAGAGCAGGTTGATCACTTTTGGAAGCACTAAACCACAAAATGAGCCTTAAATCACAAAATATAGCACATAGTAGGTAGGAGAACAGATACTTATCATCCAAATGTATATGAACATAGATCTCCACATTTAAACCATTGCACGGACTTTCCACAAGCTTCCTATCACATCAGCCACAGACTTGAAAAATTAGCAGCACATCTCCAAACTAAACTCAGACAACCACATTGGTTCTTCAAGCCAAAAGAAAAACATTATGGTGTGACATGGTGAAATCAACACAGAGCAGAATTAGGGTTTTGTTTTGTTTTTTGTTTTTTTTGTTTTTTTTAATTAGAAAGATAAGAAAATAAATCAAATTGGAGGATCATATTGCTCATGCCATGTTATGGGTGTAGAAATAAGAAAAAGATGAAAGAAATGTGAAGGAAGAGAGTCATGTTAGGACAGATTTAGAGAGAAACGTTAGAGAGATAATATGAGTGAAAGAGGAGATGAAGAGAGAAGGGGCTGTCACATCAGGGTTACCTCACCCACACGCTTCTCTCATCTATATAACAATAAATAATAAAATGTACAAGTATGGGGAAAGGAGAAGAATTCCCTATAGGCACGTAGACAAGAAATAACCAAAGAACTAGACTGATATATGCTTCTAACATCCACCAGATGGACTATTAATGTGTCTTTCTAGCAAAGCTTATATAGGCAGCCTTCCCTCTTGTTAGATGATAATATAATAGTGGGACCATCCCCTTGTAGCACCAGTCCTCAACCAGCACAAACGCTTTTCAGCTCATGCCTCATTTTGTCTGGACTGCAGGACTCAATGAGAATTGTATGTATCCATGTTATATGTTTTCTGTTTTGTTTCTTTTTATTTGGCATTCCTTTTAGAGATTGAAGTTGCATTATCTACTTGTCAAGATGAGATGGAGGATGTACTAATTTATTATGGCAATTGAAATATAGATTCTAGACCTTGGAATGAGATGTTATTCATTGGCTTACATAGTTTTCTGTTTTTTGGATTATTATCTATGACATAGTTTTTATGTGGCAGATGTTCAGGGAAAACCAAATAATGTCCATAGAATTTCTGCTCTTAGAGATCATCAGTTTAAAGCAAATTTGATGAAGGCAAGTGTTGAAGCTGCACATGGAAATGAGATGGAATCATCTGCACCAGCAAAAGGGGACTTTATGGTGGAGATTAGTGAAGATGTAAATGATAATGAGATAGATGCATACGAAGTCGATTCTTCTCTTGACCATGATGACTTGGATAAAGAAACACCAACTTTTTCTGCACAGATTGCTAAGGTGGGCTGTTCGGAGAACTGCGATGAAGACAATGAAATTAACGAAACTGAAGAAATTGGTGGAGAGAAAGGTCTTAACAGAATCAAGAAAAGGGAACAAGTTCAAGGCAGGTGGCGGGGGGTTGATCCTGTTGTATTATTTACTGATGATGCTATTATCAACAGCATAAGGACCTTCTATGGTATTAAGGACTCTTTTCCATTTCACGGCCATCTAGTGACAAGAAATAGTGATAGCCACCATGTGAAAAGAATATACTATATATCGAAGAAAGTCCATGATACATTAAAACTGAATATTCAAGTGGGACAGCAGCTCAAGATTTTCTCGCTTGGTCTGAAAATATTTGTGAGTACTCTCTTTTCTAAATTGTCTGTTTATCAAATCACACATCAAGCAAAACTTAGGAATCAAGTCTTTCCATCTTAAATATTAGGACTGTTCTACATTATGCTTTTTGCATAATATGTGCATTACATTATTTTCTTTCCCAACTGTTATAGACTCCCAATAACTTGATTCAATAGGAGAAGCTTCGACCCCATCATCGGTTAGTACCATTACACCTCGGCGCTGGTTAGAAATAAGTATCAGTTGCGACTGGCAGGAAAAAATTATGGGTAGAAGTGTCAGTTGCAATTGAACCCAAATCTTGAGGGGCTCAATTACTCCATGCAGGTACACATGTAGATATAATTTCATGAGCATTGGTTCTCGGGTGTCATGTTTCAACAAGATTGGTAAATTGAAGGGAAGCATTATATGGATTCAAGGAGAAGTTTATTGTGTGCCCCCAGATACATGAGTCCCACCCTGTTTTCCATGGATTTAGATATTAAAGACATCCTAAATCACTGCCAATGGACTTCTGCTTCAGATCTATGTGTTTGCAGCTCCAAAAATAGTGTAGACCTCATGATCTATGAAGAATTAAAATGTATGGTCCAAAGATCTATGAAGAATTAAAATGTATGGTCCAAAAAGTTGAAAAGTCTATTTTTAAGGTTCAAATTATTATTTTGCTCCCAGCTTCAAGATCATGATGGTCGAGATTATCAATCTGTGAGATTTTGGATCTATAATCCTTCTCCAAGTTAGTTTAGAAGGCAGGTGGATATGAACCAAACTATAGCCACTATATAATTCCATGGACTTTGGAAAAACCATAGCCCAATGGATCATCACTATATAGGGACATGGTCAGTTATGGGGTGTGGGACCCACAATTAGGGTCGAGTCATGTTTCCCCATCCCTCATGTCAGTGGAAAGTGTTGGTGCAATGGACCATGATTTTTCCATGGTCCATCAGTTTACAGTATACTTTTCCTTAAATTAATCCCACCTCTTGCATAAATCACTGCTTGATTCATGGGAAACTATCGAGTGATTCATCAAAAGGGAAAAAGAAAAAAGAGAAACAAGGTCGAAGATTCACTTGCACCTACTAATGAAGAAACAAGTTTGAGTGATATTTGAGTAGATTCATATTTGAGGCTTGAATTTGGCCCACTTGATATATAAAACTATATGTTTTCTTCTTTCTATTGATGCCACTCATCTTCTTTACAGGAGCGGCAGACATCAAAAGATGCATTATCTCCGTGTTTATATCGCATTTCATCAGAAGCACTGCCATTGCTACTCCCATACATGACCAAACAGATTTTAACCGCAACAGTCACAGATTTTAAGCATCTTTTGCAGTACAAAACCATCAAATTTGGTGACTTTGTTGACAATAGTTTCAGGGAGAAAGCATCAAACTTATTTGTGGGTTGTTTCGTGATTGTAATGCATAGAGGTAAGAGAGGTTATGATCAATTCAACGTTCTAATATATCTTGGGGCGAAAAGCTCTGTTTTTTCATCCATTAGGTTGAAGCATACATTTGTTTTTATGGTTAAGGTTTACATGTCTTTATTGTTATTTTTCTGCTTTGGCATTAAAGCTTATACTTCTCTTTTTTGGCTTTTGACTTTGTTTTTTATTGTTTATTTTTTTCTTAGTTCAGTGGTGGGAATAAACGTAAGATGTAGGGCTGGCAATGTACCGGTCCGCCTGGCTGGCTCGGCCATAAAAAACTAGGGGGTATGGGCTATAAAAAGTGGCCTGATAGTTGGGCCACCACGGCCCAAGGACATGTCCGGGCCTAGGCTAGGGCTCGCTCAAGTTGGCCCTGCTGAGCCCTTCCTTTATTTCCCTTACTTTTTTATCTTTTATTTACTTTTGTTGCAGTTGGCCTTGCTTGCAAGGCCTAGGAAAGGGCAGGGGCTAGGCTAGGGCCTCTTCGACCCTGTCTGGTCCGGGCCAGTCTTGGGCCGGCCCTATAGGAACTAAGGCCAAGGTTTTCCCGGTCCTGTTGCCAACCCTAGATATGGTGTTAACATCAACTGCTCACTAGTTAAGCCCAAGCCTGATTCCTAGGGCTTATGGCTTGTATTCGTGATGTGTATCATGTTCCTAATAACATACATTGGAACATAAAAAGGAAATTTTGTTGGTTAAATGCAGATCAAGGACCCATTTCAGATTCCATCGTTGGCAGTAGTTCGACCATTGCTATTGGGTGCTGGAAAGGGAGGACCAACATTAGCGTGATGGTCTCGCCAATGGAATGTGAGGAGCTGCTCGAGAGGCTCTCTTTGGTCTCGCCACAAGAGGATAAAGCTATTATCAATACCGAGGTGGATGCAGTGAAAAGTGTCTCAGATGGTGAATTCCATGATTGAAACTGTTCTTTTCTTTTTTGCTTTGTTTTATAATTTGAGGCAGGTAGTAACTACCTGGAGTTATTTAAAAAATTGTATGCGGCATTTCAAGCTTGGTAAAATTTAGTTATGAAGGACGAGATGGTCAAATTGGTGGAGATTGGAGAGAGGGAGTGATCAGAGCCCCAAATTAAACAGTACCATTTGGTTTTTTTTCTTTTCTTTTTGTTTTTGCGTAATTCAGTGGGGAAGACACGCAGGGGCGTACCCATTTTTTCATATAAATTAAAGAGTTTTTAACTTTTTGGAAAATTGTTTCATGCAGGTTGGTCCGCATTTCTAGTTCCCAAGGCATTAAAGTATCCATCTTTATAGGTGGTCCATCTAAAAAACATTGAACGTGTTCTAATGTATTTTTTGTAAAACTATTATTTTTATTTCTTAAAAATTATTATTTTTATATTCATGATCTTCATGTTAGAAATTGTCGTAAAGAATTGGGTGCAAAAATCAATCTCATAAATAGATTTGTAAGAGTCTTTTAACTCATTTCTACATGAACTCGTAGAAACTGTCTGCTAGCTTTTTTGAAGGTGTCCGTGGGTGGTGTCGACAAAATTAAAAACCGGAACATGGTAACTAACTAGTAGGGGGTACTACCAATGTGTATTTGCTGTGCTTTGTTGCTTCCTGCTTCTATTCATCAAATTAAGCCATTTCAGCATGTTTACATCGTATTTTGCGCGCCCAAAAGAAAAGAACCACAGGAAATAAGTTCCTCGCGATTTAGAAGCAAGAAAGCAATTTCAGATGTAACATTTTCTTATAGTTCACATATATGGGCAACAATCTGACCGACTTTCACAATCTACAAAACCAATAAAACCAAAGATATACATTAAATATACCATCTAAACCACCTTTACTGCCAACACTCGCATCAGCTCAGAATCCAGCACAGAAAAATGGACAATCCACAAACAGCAGAAAACAAATCACGAAGATCTGCAGCACATATTGCTTTTCACCGGTATCTCTTGGGCAGGTCCCGGGATCACAATCTTCTTCCCTGAAGGTAAAGGTGCATTCCCATTGCTCTGGTCCTGATCTGCAACAAGGTGTTTCTTGTTTACAATATTAAAAATCTCAGTCAAAACTGTCAAGAAAGCAGTTTCCACATTTGTTGATTCTAAGGCCGACGTTTCAAGGAAGAAGAGGCCTTCTTTCTGAGCAAATTCTCTGGCATCTTCAGCAGGCACAACCCTTTGGTCTTCGAGATCGCTCTTGTTTCCGATAAGGATTATGACTATGTTCTTATCAGCATGGCCCCGCAACTCTTCAAGCCATCGGGGGACGTGATCGAAGCTTTGACGCTTGGTTATGTCATAAACCAACATCGCCCCAACAGCTCCCCTGTAATAAGCACTGGTCACTGCCCTGTATCTGTTGGAAAGAAAAACCAAGAAAACCTAACTCAGGCACACCCACTTTACATATAAACACGTGTGCATGGGCAGTACTGGTGGTGTGTATATGAGTTTTTCCAATGCATTTGCCTTCACATATCAACCCTGACATTTATAAGAAAATTCGCATCTCTCAAGAGTAATAGATTGCATGCCCAAATGAAAATAAGATGCTCATCAAGTCAGTAAGCGATCAAAGTTTCAGTGGCGTACAGGTACAGCCAGCCCATACCACATGTACGGGCTGTGGAGAAAAATAAAGAAACACAAACGATAGGGAGACAAACTGACACATCATCTTGGCCAAGGCTAGAGTAGATCCACATTCCAAGACAGCTAAAACACAAGAACATGAAATCCCATACTGACTTGAATACTGCCATTGATCCAGTCTAGTTTTCTTCAAATTCCAACTAAAAAGAACAGAAAAGGAGGACAGCACTTTGCAGGCCCAAAGGAACAGTATTCTTTGTCTTTATTTTCAATTAATGCAAAAGAATGATCAATCTTCTCTGTGAAACTACTCCCCCCTTTCACGATAGTATAGGAATTTTTACTCAACTTTTAATCGAAGGCATATAAGAATCAATCATGAAATTCTTGTTGGAGAGTCAGATCAATTGGATATAGAAAATTAGTGCAGGACAAAGCCCTCTAAAACTCACAAAAGATATGAAGCTCCAGTCAGATTCTGAAAGGACCATTGGCTGGGTGAGCAGCCCTTGGAAATCATCTTCCCGAGCCTTTACCCCATCACTTAGACCAGAGAACTATGAAATGCTAGGGGGACAAACATCAAGGTCGCACTTTAGGCAATGCCTTGAGTCCTTGAAGACACATACCCCTGAGTTGACATCATTGCACGAACCCCTTAATGCAGAATTTATACCCTGTAAGGCTGGAACAAATTGTTTGGGCTCCCTCTTGCAAAGTTGTCTTATTTGTCCCTTCTTTATATTAAAGCCCTCGATCAACTGAGCAGAGCCATTTCATCACTATCAGGTCCTGGTTCACGCCTATACCAACCAAAAACCAGGTCATTAATTGGTTAGTTTATTTCCAGCAAGATGTTCACTCTAGATGATTCACATGAGAGGCATTCCATTACCCGACAGATGCTCCATTCGTAAGGAACAAGAAAAAACCACCAATCATTTACTCATCCACTGCAATGTGGATTCTCAAATCTGGTCTTTCATACTCAATCTATTTGACTGGGAGTGGGTCATACTGGCATAAACTCAACTATTTTACTCTTACTTTTCACCCCCCATACCCTACCCCAGGCCTATTACAATGGCATGGCACCATTTTTTACTTCATCTGCCATCTAGTTAGAGCAAAAATAGGTGTATTTGTTAATGTAAGGAAAGCTACATCATTGCTTACAAGGATCGAATCAAATTGACAATCAATTTTGGGCTCAAAATCACAAAGAACTTAGGGCCTATTCCTCAGAGGACCGGTGCTTCAAAAAGCGGACCGCCCAACGCTTGGGTAGCTGCCTAGGATGTTCTGGGGGCCTGGGTGATGCACCCAAAAAAGCGGATATCCTAGGGGGCCACCTAGGGGCCCAAGAAGCCACCTAGATGGCCGCTTGAACCGCCTAGGTGGCCCAGGGGTGGAAATGGCCCTTGTTTAGGGTATTTTTGGGTAATTTTTTTAATATTAAAAGTGCAAAATTTTGGGTTTTAAGTTCATTTGAAACCTAAAACCCATTAGAGCCTATTTTAGAGCAAAAAACCCAAAAAAAAAAATTCTTCTGGGCCGCTCAAGTTCTGGGCATGCCTAGAAGCTGGGCGACCTGGACCCCCCTGACCGCCTAGGTGCCGTCAACCGCTTTTTGAAACACTGCAGAGGACATCCAAGAGACAATGACAACATATAATATAGCCTAGACCTAGACAACCTAAATCTTATCACTGGATCTGATCCGAGCTAAGAGTTCATCAAGCTCGACTTTGATGGTAGCTCGCTTGGCAATCCACAAACAGTCAGCACAAGGAGCATCTTCAAAGATAGCTCAGTTGAGATCGTAATCACCTACTTAGGCCTACTAGTTGTAAAGGATGAAACATTTACAGACGGCCAGGCTTTGCAATTGGAGTCAAAGCATTCGATAGAAGTTTTGGATCGACCTAATCAATTGAAGGCAATTCCCAAACTGTCAAAAATTGGGCTAAAAGCTCCTCCCCTATATTTGGAGATTGGAAACCTTTTCAATTAGTTGGCATCTGCTGCTCCCTACAAGCGTCATTAGACACTCTTTGAAGAGAGCCAAGTACTTTTGTGTATTCCCTTGTCAAAGAAGGGGCTTCAATAACTAACCTTCTAATTACTAGACCACCCTCTTAAGGAGTTTAACTTTGTTCCCCATAACACCAGAATTCTAGCAACTAGTACATCTTAATCATATTGTTACATCGAGTTATTTCATCAATGAAAAAAAAAAGAATATGACCAGCTACCCTCCATAAAAATCACAATGATTCTTATGCCACAAAATAACAATTCATCAATTGCCCTCAATAATACACAGTTTAGAGAAACATATCTACAAAACACACAGTGCAATTTCTACTCATGCGTGAAAATAGACCACACCAAAGCCCCGGCAAAAGGCTAGATAATTTTTCACAAGAAGGATTCCTGCTCATCCCCACTTCAAAAATTTCTTTTTTCTTTCTGAATGGCCAATTAAGAGATTTTCTAAAAAAATGGTCAACAAAGAGATTGTACACTAATACACGTGAAAGCTTCCAAGCTTTAACAACATAGATGATATATTAATCTTATTAAAACAAAGATACCTACATTAATTGACTCAGAATGATAAAAAATACAAAACCTACAAAAACAACTTCATGTGAAACCTTTCTAGCAGAAACATGATCACTTCTCCACCCCAACCAAGGGACCAAGAGAGTGAGCCAATAAGTTTATCTGTGAATTCCAATATATGAGCCCATTTACCTATCATTAGTAAAGCTCCTTGACAGGGTTTTCTAAATCCGCCATTCCTAAAGGTGTTTACTTCAACTAGTGTGGCAGAGCTGCAATGTGAACTCTAAGAACTTTCAAAACATAGTAGCAACTCTTTCGACCTGGTAATCATAAAAGTATTGTTCCTTTTACTATTGTCCATTCTGATGTGAGGGGTCCATTTCATGTTACTTCAATTTTTGGCTATCGGTATTTTGTTTATTTTGTGGACGATTGCTCTCAATGTACATGGATCTATCTTATGAAACCAAAGATGAGTGTCTATCTTCAAGGTCTTCCATAACATGATCCATACATAGTTTGCCACTAAAATTAAGGTGCTTAGATCTGATCAATGTGGGAAGTATTGCATCAATGAACCAATGTTTTATTTGGAAGAGTCTAGATTAATTTTGGTTTTGGAATCATAATGAAGCTCTCTATAGTCTAAGAGTTATGGTCGTTTTTCAAATAGAATGTCTTCTATAGTTTCTGCTGCATAGAACAGAAGTTATCCCCTAAAGGATCATATAGTTTGACCCACCTCGATCCATTTTCTAGTGTTACTTCCAAAATGAAAGTTGTGCATTTCTAAGTCTAGTTTTCACAGAGCTATGCCTCATGAGTAAATTCCACATATTCAAAATGTTACGGCCTCGTACTAGAGGGTTGTCAGTTGCGGTTTCTGTTGCAGAGCAAAAAGTTCACTCCCAGATGATCAAGTGAATCTACCCACTTAGATCGATAATTTTGTGTTTCTTCTTGAACAAAAGTTGTATAATTTTGAGTCTATTATATCTGGGAACAAATCCCATAATTTAATGTTGAGTAAGTTTAAATTTATGTCCAAATAAGCGCATAGTGATCACTTTGGAAATCCATAAAATTTAGCGGGATTGGACCCTACTCTCGTCCCATCTTGATATAGTGAATGTGCATAATTGAGATGCCACTTGTTGTACCTAACACGTCTCTAAGACGATACGTATCATGTATGACATGCTTTTGATATGATTTGTGTGCATAAGAAGCATGACTCTTGTCAATTAGGTGATATACCTCTTGATAAGAATGTGTATGTAACATGCCACAAATTATTCATGATATGCCTCTATTATGTCATCTGTGTATGACAATATGTTTTTGATATAATTTTGATACGACACTTGTGGCATGCTTTTGATAAGATATATGTGCATGGAGACACGCTTCTGCTATATGATCTATGCATGGTGACATTCTTCTGATAAGATATGTGTGCATGGAGACATTATGGCTGATTGTCAATTCGGGCGGTAAGGCCAATCAATATGCCACGCTTCCGACCCTCTCCAGGATCTCAAAGGGTCCGATGTAGCGCAGGCTCAACTTTCCTTAAACTCAGTGACACAAGCCCTTAGCATATCTTCCCAAGTTTGGATGGTCTTCTCCGATTGCCCATCAGTCTGGAGGTGAAAGACAGTGCTAAAGGTGAGTCTAGCCCCCAAGGCTGATTGCAGAATATGTCTAAGCATGAAAGCATGGCACCTAGATCTTATTTACTGGCCTTTACAGCTCACTTTGTTAATGTTTCCTCCATGTAAAGTGATAGCCAGTCGTGATTGGAGTGGCATGTCTTGGTGGTCATGTTTGGGGTCCCTTACCCCCCTTCTGTTGAACCTTTATTTTGCAATGAATATTTTGGTTGGCAGTCTGGCCATATAGTCTATTTTGATTTGGTAATATGTCTTGATGTTGGTCCTTTTGTGCTTTGGACCTATATGTAATATTTTGGATTGTTGTATGTATTTTGGGACTTGTTTGTCCAGCAGACGATAGTTATGTATATTGTTTTTTTTTTTTTTTTGAAAACTTTCGTATAGAACCCTAATTCCTCCTATTATTTCATGGTAGACCCTCTTTCCGTTTTTCTTTCAAGCTGCATAAAGAAATCTCTTATCTCTCTCTTTTATAGACTTTTGACCATAAAAATTAGCCCCAACAAAACTTTTTATA